TAAAGATGAAAACACAACTCTCATTTGCAAAGTAAGCACTCTCACAGTTGATCTTTCGGATATGTTGTCCAAAACTAAAGAAGAATCGTTGAGGAGAAAGATAAGCAATCAGGAGCACACGATCAACATTCTAAACAACGATTTAGCCAGACTTTCCGACATACCAACTAACTCTCAACTAGAATCTTCTCTTAGTACAAGATTGACGAAAGAAGTACAATAACTGGAAAAAAAAAAATTGATGATGCAACTCATACGAATAAGTCAATTAAGACTTAGATGGCGAATCTTCGGCCTAAGAATGAGGCAATACATAAGGAGAGTGATGAAGTTGATAAACTTGGAGAATCGAATATGGATGTTGTGAAACCTCGGGGAAGCTCTGATGCATCATTTAACTATCCAGAAACAATATTGCCAAATTGTTGAACTGCAAAAAGAAAATGATAGCTTGAAGAATAAGGTTGAATATATGGAACTTACTTTGGAGGCTACCATTGATGCAAACCAAAAGACGACTGCCGAGCAACACAAGAAGGGTAGTGATAATGATACGAACTTCAACGATAATCCTAAGCCAACTCGTAAAAACATAGCAAAAATGACTCCCAAGTCATCAGTTGTAGCCAGAAGGACAAAACTAAATGCACCTAAACCCGAAGGATAATCTCTGAACGAGCAAACATAAGATAAAAAGAAATCGATTCGTAAATGAGTTCTCGCCGACAAGACAGCGGGGAAACAAAAAAAGAAACCGATTCGTAAAATCCATATACACAAAAGTGGAAATTCAGAAAATGCATAACTATACTGTCATAGATAGCACATTTATAGCATAAACACATTTCACACAACTTTGCATTAATGTACTGCCACAAAGAGCAACATTAAAAATGTTACTCTCAAAGACAGTCATTTACATGAATAAACAATTTTTCTACTGCATTTTGATAATGAAGACTACTTTTATGTTTGTAAATGACGGTTCTTGATGTTAGAGTAGGTGACCAACAAGCCAACTTGTGGCTGTGGTGTTTCAATTTATTCTTGTAATAAATAATCCTTTTCGTATTAATGATAAAACACCTTGGCATTCTATATCTTTGTCCCTTGTTCAAACATAGATATAGTCCTTACAGTTATTACAATTACTTGTAATTGATCTTTTAGGATTGTGAAATATTTACTTAAGTATTATAACTGTTAAACCGTGTTCCTAGTCGAAGAGTTACGGCCACCAATGAGGATATCGGCCTTTCCCATTAAGAGACTAGCACTTAGTGTATGTGTACTGCGTCTCATCAGTAAACGGTATTGTGATATCGGCATGCATAAGTGGGTGCTCGTAAGTTGACGAGTTCACTAAACTCCCTCATCCTAGAAATCTCTAAGTGGTTCTCAATAATCGAGCAGAGATCTCTATGGTATAGTTGTACACCATTAGTCCTTAAGACCTACACATCACCGTGACTTTACTAGATAACCAGCTGTATCGTGACATGTCCCTGAGTTCCACCGAGGACCGCCCCAAGGGCTAGTGTTCGTGCAGTCCAAAATCTAGTGGGAGGTCTGTGCATTGTAGTAAGGGATTCGATCGGTAGCATAGTCTTGGATGTCCTGTGTGTTCTCATAGTTTGTAATCTTTAAGTCTCTGGCCAAAGTTGACTAAGTGATGATTAAGGAATAAGATTCTCTAAGTCATGCTCGTATCGATTATAACACTTAGAACGATCGCACAGTTATTGAACTACTAAGGAGGTCTCGATTAACCAATGCCTCTAGTTCAATCGGGACATATGAATCAAAGGGATCATACTGTACGTTAACTATATCACACGGTTCTTGCAGGCACTTCATTTTTATCTAGGGAATCATGACCCGTAGTTGCTAGACGCCAATCTTGATTCGTTGGGTGATTAAGTTAAAATGAGCTTCATCTTATTTATAACTCTAGGGACGAGTTTAAACCACAAAGAGTTGTGGACCCACGGCTAGCTTACACCTGAACCATCGAGGGTCACACTGCTCGTGCACTCGAGTTCTTTGAATAAACGGTTAAAGATAAAAGTGTTTAATCTTTGCATAATTGGAACTCAATATGATTGAGTCCAACATTAGTAATTTGGAATTATGAATCAGAATAAGAAAAGGAAAGAATTAGGCGAGCATCTTAGTGAACTTTCTAAATTGGGAAGTTTCCAACTTTAGAAGGTCCACTAAATTAGGGTTTGCACTTTTAGAAATTGGAAATCGATAATTAGCATTCGTAATGACGAGGACGTTTCAATGATTCCGAAAATATAATTGTTATAATTTTCCAATCACTGAGTTGTGAGAAACGAGGGACAAAAAACTAATGAACTTAAGGTGTTGGACCTGGTCCATCTTAAGCCCGTTAGGACTTTTATACAAGAAATTATAAATATAAGATTTATAGGTCTTGCACAAAACAAAATATACACAACCCTAACCCTAGCTTATCAACTCCTCTCGTCCGCTGCCCCTCCTCCGCCGCCGCCGTCGCCGGAATGGGTGCACACGCGCCGATAGTTCTTTGGTAGTATTTCTTTTTGTTTTATTCTTCCGTTTTATTCGGAATTTTTCGTGTCTAGTGCCACATATCAGTTGAATTCGGTATACGAGGTGAAATCCGAGAGGAGGAGGACAAAGGAGCCAATCTGCCGAAACGCTGCCATCGATCCGCCGCCGCACGCGCCGCTCCAAGTCAGCGTGTGAACCTCATGCGCTGCTCCAAGTCGGCGTGTGGACCTCATGCGCCGCCACTGATCCACGCGTCCGCCGCTGTCGCTTCGCCGCAGCTTTTCCCGACTACATGGATTGGTTTCCGTGTCAGTCAGCTTCAATCCGAGAATTCGCGTCACGCTTCGAGAGGTAATTTTCAGATCCGTATTTTATTAGGTTTTAATTTAATTAGATTAAATTTAATGTTGATATTCGCAGTATGATTTTGCTTGAATGATTTAGTGAAATTGTTTATGCATAAATTATGATTTACTGCGAGCATGCTACGTGATTTAATCATCAAATTAATATGCATGTTGTATTTTAATTTTGCTGGAACTTGGAAGCATTAAGGTATGCAAATTTTTATTTTAATTTGCGCTGGAAGCATTAAGGTACGCAATTAATTGCTATTATCGAGTACGTGTTTATATGATTAAACTTGTTTTTCATATAGTTTTTTTGTTTTCCGCTGCGTAAACGTGCCCGATTCCCAACATTTGATTCATACATGTTCATTATGCATATGCGACAAGAGGAATGACTGTTTAATGACAACATCGATTCGGATTTGGATGGCGAAAGTTATTGCTTTTCGAGTTCACTTCATTTGACAAAAAAATTTACAAAATTTCAAAAATAATATATATATTGATATTTGTATATATGATGTTGTAAAAATATGCAGGGACATTATTGACAAGCACATGATCTGTCATTTTTCTATAATATGCAGGAGCAATGCGTCAAGCACATATATATATATATATATCTCGACCTATCATTATCTAATATTTTCAGTGCATTCAGAGAACAGTAGCAAAAATGTGATAGATCATTGGACATTGGTTTTCCTCGACAGAAAGAAGAACGCCAGGAAATAATACAACTCGTTTCGGCCGTCACTGAGAGTGGAGAAAGCAGAAAGGTGGTCTTCAATGTGTTTTCAACACTCTTTAAAACATTCAATATCAAGCAACTCCTGCTCTTTTTCTCCCGAAAATCCATACCTTGCATAGTTGTAACGAAAACAACAACAACCGCTAAAGAAACGGGTTACAATAAAACATCTATAAATTAATAATGTTGGACCGGGATATTTTATTAATTTAGGAAGATATTGTCATATCGATAAATTAATAATTTATTAATATAAAGAGGTTTTGCCTACGACCTTTATATTTCCAAGTCCAATCAATGTACTAGATACAAGGCACATTTTATGAATGTACATTCACAAGTTAATTGAATTTGTCAAGTTCAATGTTTTTGAATAAGTAAAAAGTTAGTTCATGGTACAGGAAAGTTGGTCCATGGTACCAACGCAGTACAAGATTATCTAGGTGAAAATAATGAATGTTACGAGGTTCAATGCATTGAAGAAACTGTAGTAGATACCATTCAAAAAATCCTGTGGATGACGAAGTTGAGAATGATTCAATAGTTTTGGAACCGGACACTCGGAAAGAAGCATTGCAAGCGGCAACAACTCTTCACAACTTTTTGTTGTAATACGAGAAGACAATGCCCCAACTTTTAGTTCAATGTGGAGATTTGAAGATGAGTCAATATATATTTGAAGTTCAACAAAAAACAAGTGACTATAAATTCATTTTTACTAGACAATCTTAGAAATTTTGAATCTCTTAGTAATTATTAATTTATATATACACTGGAATTTTAAAAAGGTTATTATCTTACTATTTTATCGTTGTGGTTCAATTTTGTACAGATTCCAAATTGGGCCTAGACAAATTATTAATTTTATCGAGTTAATTAATTTATTGAGTATTAATTTATATATGTTTACTATAGTAGGTTAGTTGCTTAGAAGTTATAATCACTTTCACTAAACCATTATGCAAAATTGGAAGTAATTACTTCATCTGCCATGAATATAATTCATCTGGTTGAGGAAGTCAAAACAATCAATCGAACCAAAATTGGGAGTGCTCATTCGGTAAAATCACACCGAATTGAATCAGAATTTCGGTACTTTGAAAATTTGTACCATTTATCGAACCGAATAATTTTTTTCGGTTCGGTGCAATCTTTTACCGAATTAATTTGAATTTTTAATTTCGATACCGGTAAAATTGAAAATATTTTTTTTTATTATAATAAAAGTAAAAAAAATATTTAAACTAATTAATTCTTGAATTTGAAATTCAAATTTCAGTAGTGCACCCTAAAAATCTCATTGGCATGTGACCGAATGGACATATTGAAGGGTTTTATAGGTCCTTTGAGCATAGATGAAATACACCAAATAGTATATTATTTACTGTAAATTTACACACACAATCTACAAGCAACAAGTAACAAACAACCCAACACACCAATTCATAACACAAAATTGATCGTCCACATTTTCAAAATTCCGGCACAGGATGATCTTCGTCGGAAGTCGGAGCCAAAACCCAATCTCCGTCTTCATCAAGAACCAACCCTCTATTCTTCTCAACCCACCACGAACCCGGAACCAAATACTCGTCTTTCAGAATCGCGCTCGACTTGTTCACCAAGGCCAAGCTCCTCTTAACCTTCAATTCAAATTCCCCATCGGCCCCATTCCACCCGGCAACCACGTGGAGTATCGCCTGCAAGTTGTGCCAATCGCTCGGATTCTTCGAATCCTTCAAACTCGGCGACTTCCTATTGTCCACCTCCAGCTCGATCCCGGTGTCTTTGTACCCAAACAACGCGCTCGGGTAGCGCGGAATCAGATCGATTTTATTTTTTACGTGCAGGACTTTCAGATTCGGATACCGAAGCAATCTCTTATTGAAAGCATGGTTCCCTATCTGAGGGCTCCCGAATACGATGGCGGAAACGGGGATATCGCGGACACCGTTCTCGACTAAATCGAAACCTGATAATATCGCTAGCGAAGCGCCGAGGCTGTGCCCTGTTAGAGTTATGCTCAGGCTTTCGTCTTTGTACTGTTCGATGATCTGTTCGATCTTTTTCAGGAGCTGGGTTCGAGCGCTTAGTTTGGTGAAGGAGGAGTTGGGATCTGTTGACACGTAGATTGTGAGCCAGCCCTTCATTACTTTGGGCACGCCGTGCTCGTCGTCGTCGTTGTCTTCGTCGCTGGGGGTATTATTGTAATTATCAGATGTGGGTTGGAGGAGCTCGTGGGCGGATTCGGGTCGGGCGCCGAGGACGTCGATCCACTCGTAGTTCCGGGTGGTGCCGCGCCAGACGACGTAGATTTCGCGGCGGCCGGAGGAGCGGCTGAGTTCGTCGGAGGTGGTGGCGATGTAGCCGATCCAGTTGGACTCTCTGTCCCAGGATTCGCGGGAGAGGGAGTGGAGGAACATGGCTTTGCCGACGCCGACTTTGGCGGTGGCGTAGAGGAAGCATTCGACCTTGTAGTCGGCGGCGGAATCGAGCATGACTTTTTGGAAGAAGGAGTCCTTGCCGTAGCGGCTGCTGCCGGCGAACTTGGAGTTCTGGTCGTTGTTGAAGGCGTCGTAGGTGGCTTGGCAGAAGTCGCCGCACCGGAGGATGAGGCGGCGGAGGCTGAGGTCTAACGGGTCGAGCAGATTTTCCCAGTTGTTGCTGCCCAGCAGTTCCGCCCATGAGGGTTCCGCCATTGTTGTTCAGTTTGCTTCTTCTGAACTGAAGAAAAAGGCTTTGCGGGGGCTTTATGATGTAGTAAAAGAAGGATGGGGATAAATTGGTAATTGACTAATTTGAAATGTCGTCGGAAGTGGGAGCCGAGTAACAATTTTTGATTCCGTTTGTATGTGGGTGTAAGTGTGTGACAGATATTGAATTATTTGATTATTGGCTGCAGATTGTGATGTCTTATACATAATTTTCATTACTTGACAAGTGCATGACGAATGAAAATGACACATATAAATTATTTATCTAGAATAATTTTATTAATTTATTATTAAATTTAAACGAAATGCAAAGGATAAAGAGGTAAAGAGGGGTTTGGTACGTTTTGTAATTGAGGAGTGTGACACACTTTATAATTCAAGGGCACAAAAATATATAATCTCGAAGTACAACTACGAAATTATGGCACGTTGACCAAAGATGGAGAATCTTTTTGCACAATTTTCCCCCTTCAATTGGCTTCCACTGCTTATGTGAATTTAAATTTGAGCAAATTGTGTTTAGATAAATTAAGTTGAACATTTCAGCAGAACTGGAAGTATGTATTTAATTTAACCAAATGGACATAAGGTGTTATTATGCGACTCATATCCACGTGTACATGCCAAGTGGATATTTTTTCTGAGTCAGCAGTTAAAGTAAAGTTAAAGGATGAAATGGAAAGTGTAAGGAGCTGTTATACTAGAAGACAGAACACGTGAGGAGCACTGACTGTGGTAGACACCTGTCGAGTTCACAGTGGTTTGCTTGGGGACCAAGTTGCTTTTTGCTAGGATTAACTGCATACATAAAGCACTTGGAGGAGAGGCTTGGAGGCTAAGGCTAATCAAGGGAATAAGCTTGAGGGGCTGGAAAGAGAGGCAACTCTCAAGAACAAAAGAAGAAGCTAGAGGGAAAGCAAGAAGGAAATCTTCACAGGGTTTGTGAGATTTGGGGTTGGGAAACAAGAGAGGAACATTGAGGTATACACTAACAGGGGAGTGTCAATACAACTTAGGTGAAATAGCTGTTGAGAGCTTGAGTGTTATCACTATCTTGTAATTTGTAACCTTCTTGATCTAATGGATTTTGTTCTCTCTGCACAATGGATGTAGGCCTGTGGTAATACAGGTCAAACCACTTTAAATATTGTGTTCTTTATCTGTTCTATAGCTTTCAGTTTTAGATATGTGGTAACTATGGTTGTGTTATTTGCAACGGTGTCAACAGTCGGTTGAGTCAACACAGTGGTATCTATGTGTTCTTGCTTGGTTCGATTTTCATTTTATGTGGCTTGTTATTGTCTGTGGACCCGAATCCACAACATAAAGGAATTGGAATGATTATTTTCATTTTCTTGTTTCATTCGTATAACCAAATGGACTCTCTCTCTCTCTCTCTCTCTCTCTCAACACTTAAAGAATTACAATATCCTTCACTCTGTCTTCCAACACATTTCCTGAATCACTCATTTCGTAAAGGCCCGACCTGTTGAAGTAATCCGATGTTTGGAAGGAAGTTCAACTCGTTTGGGACGAAAGGAAATGAACGTTTGAATTTAATAATGTGGGTGTAGGTTTTAAGGATGTATGTTAATAGAAGAAGATGGGCTTTTGATTTGGGTCAAAAACCAATGAAAGATGAATTTTGAATTTGAATTTGAAGATGTTGATTTTTTTGAGGTTTTAAATTAAATTTGGGGTTATCACTGAATTGTGGTTTTAATTTGGGGGTTCTAAATTGAATTATGGTCGTAAAGCAAAAGTCAAATCTACACCTCAGCATTTGGAGACCCAACATTAACAGAGGGATACAAACTGTCCAAGTTTGTAGTTGAGGCGGCATTGAGGACCCTATAATTCAGGGGAGTTAACTGTAATTACCCATAAATTTAATAGTATATTTTTAAACTTGTATTAGTCTAGAAAATAATAATTTTAAAATTCAATTTCAGAACTCCAAACTGTATAAAATCACCACGAAAAGAAAGAGCTCGACGAGAGGAATCTAACGGTAGTCAAACATCGAATTTCGACCACTGTATAGAGAGTTATGACTCCGTGAAACAACATCGCCGATTGAAAACCTATGGGGACGGGATTTGGATCTGAAAGTTGAGAGAGGAAGAGAGAGATGAAGTGATGTTTTTAAAATGATATTAAAATAGCATTTTTGGTACTTCAAAGTGCTCAGGGGTATCCCAAATTAAGATAAAAATGAGGAGATATGTACCAAATGTAATATCTTTGGTGGTTAGTTCAAAATAATTTCAAAATGAGGGGTCTATTGAACAATGTTTTGAAACCCGGACTGGACCGGCCAGTTCGACCGGTTCAGCCGCGAACCGCTACCTTGTCCAGTCCGGTTGGTACTATAAACTCGAAAATTGCAAAAAACGATTCAGTTGATAAAAACTGTTTTTTTGACCGATCAGACCGTCGAACCGGAAACCGCCTGAAAACCGGTTTTTGAGAAATGATTTGTAGCTCTGATATGCACGATAGTGGAGGGAGTAGAAAAAACTGAGAAAAAAAAAACTCAGTAAAAATCGCTATTGGACGAGCCGGAGGGCTTGGGTGGCGCTAGTCAGGTTGTGTCCTGACTCCTGAGATCTTGGGTTGAAATCTGCAATGGTGGCTTGTGGGTGGTAATGATTGAGAAGAAAAGAAGAAAAAGAAAAAGACCACAATAAAGAGAGAAGAAAAAATGCTTTGGTGTTTGGGAATTGGGGTAGGTGGCGGCTGGGTGCAATAGAGAGAGGGGATTAATGAATAAATAACACAAAAATAGAAATCTAAAATTCAGTATAAAGAAACAATATTGAAAATATTATAATATTATCTAAGAGCATGTACAATGGCCTAGCTAAAAAACCCTCTCCAAATAGTGGGGTCCACATGCCACATACTCATTTTATTAACTTTATCACATCTCTAAAAATGGGTCCCACTTTTATCACTCTCCAAATTAAAATTGCTACAATGATATATTTTGTTGCTCTCCAAAATAACTCTCCGAATATTAAACTATAATAAAATATTCACTATTAATATAAAAAAATTCAAATTAAATTTTCAAGAATTTATATTTAATTAATAAAATTGATATAATTAACTTGACTTTGAAATTAAGCTAATTTTCGTAAAAAAATGACCATTTGATCATGTTGTGATTTACGTTCGTTTATTATTATTATTTTTTTTTTCTGTAATATATAAAGACTAATTAATAATATAAAAATTTAACAACTTACATAAAATTGACATAAATATTAATAACACAAAGGATTACAGAAGAGTTGAATAAGATTGTTGGAACATCTCTCCAACTAATAGAAGACATCAATAAAAATTACGAGAAAGCTAGTAAACTAATTATTAGGCCCCGTAAACGGTGACTTATTTTTCCGTGCACGACTTATGATTTCTCTTTGTTGTTCCATTATCCAAGCTTGTTGTTCAATAATCCAAATTTTACCTTCATCTGTAGGAGCTAAATTGAGATCCATCATCATTATTTCTTTCTCAAATCGTTTTTGTTCTTGTTCTTTCATTGCTGCAATTCTCATTTGCTTGGTTTCCTTTTGAACTTGTAGCTGTAAATTTCTTGCGTCCATTTTCGCTTGTAACTTTTGTTGTTCTATTGCATGTTTTTATTCCCTTCCTTTTGAAACCGACTTGATACTTCTTTTCTCATATTAGAAAACTCTTCTACAAATAAGTTCATGGAATTAATTTTTTTTTCTTTTTTAGCACTTTTCGCACATTTGTTACCGGGAGGACGTGCTAGACCAGTTGAAGTATTATTAGATACTCCATCCTCATCGTCAAGATTAATTGAGGTTGGAGTCCCGCTAGGTGTGGATTGCTCACTTGACGGAGTCTCGGCATTGGAGGAATCTTCAATATTATTTTCATCCAAATTAATTTCTGCCATCTTTTTTTGACACATCCTTTTCTTCTTCTCTTGTATATCATTGATATAATTGTACCATTTTGGTGTGTCTTTTAAAATAAGTCAACAAGTCTCCCACTTAAAAACATGGTTCTCTTTCTTGTAATATAATTGTTTTGTTATTAATATCTGTGAATAAAGATTCAAATACTTTATTTAAATAATATATATATATATATAGCTATTGTAATATAATTTTATATTTACTTACATTATCTTCTGCACTTTGTCCACTAATTGGACACGTTCAATCATATTGACATATCCAGAAAATTTAGTAACGCTTAATTGAATGGTTGACCACGGATTCATTAGCCCACCAGAGGGTCTACCAGGATCGTCTTTTAGAATTTTTACAAATTCCGCGCTAATTCGGTCCCACAACTTGCCTCTTAGTTGATTCGTACCAACTATTGGATCTTCTGAAATATGTAACCAGGCTTTGCATAAAGCTTCATCTTCTTTCACACTCCTGTTTGGTTGTCTATCTCTTTGCGCGCGTCCTCCAGAACTCTTCTTGTCTGATGTATTTGGAGTATGCATTTGTTGTTGCGTTTTATGCAAACTGAGAAAATGGTTGAAATTGCGAATTCATGGACTGATGAGTAAATGTTTGAGAATCATTTTATCATGGTGGCTGAGAATTATATTGTGGATTCATATTAGGATTGAAATTATTGTGCGGATCTATAATATCACTGTAAAATGAAGGTGAATTGGTGAGTTATAACATCAATATATGACTACTATTTATAGTGGAGCAAATTTAATGGAGCAAAACTATATTTGCACTTCCCCGAAAACAATATCATAATATATTTAATTACTTCTTGGCATGTCTCTTCCTCATATAGATTTTTGATGGCACGCTTTCCGTAATAAAGTATTATAATAGCTTCTTAATATTTTGCTAAATAAAAAATTTAATTGTTTGATGACACATCTTATCATCTTAAGATATTAGTCCAGCACTTTTCTCAAAAAATAACATCGTAACATTTTTTTGCAAATCTTATCAGCCGGTTAGATTATCTATGGCACGTTTTACGAAAAACAATATCATAACAGTTTTGTAAAAGAAAAAAAAAAGTAATTATTTGATGACATATCTTGTCATCTGAAGAGACTATTCATGGCCCTTATCTCAAAAAATCAATATCATAATTATTTAGCTAAAAGAAAAGGCAAATATACGAATAGATTATTCATGGCACTTTTTCCTAAAATACAGCAGCTTAACATTTTGCTAAAACAAAAAGAAAATGATTAATTGATGGTATGATGGTATATCTTATCTTAATGAAAAACTATTCACGACACTTTCTTATTCTCTGTAACAATAAACTATCACCCCTAACTTACACTTTTTCCAATAAATAATTCACCCGTGATCATATCACCCCACAAATATTTTGAATCACATATTTGTGTATAAATAATTTCTTCCTTTGACAAAAATACACCAACTCACAAAATATACAAATAACATTTTTTATACCACAAATTATGGATTCATCATCTGGATGGTTTCCACAAGATGAGTTAACATATTTTCAATCATCAAGTTCTTAATCTACATCTTCAGAGAATGAAGAGCTTTTTCCATTCGTATCGAGAAAGAGACTCAAGAGATGCTTAATTTGATTCCTCGAATATATCAAGCACAGGAATAACAATCATCGCAACGACGATATATTCATCGTGATCGTGAAAGAAGTCACCAACAATTGTGGGATGATTATTTTTCTGATAATTGTACTTATCCTGATGATTATTTTCGCAGACGTTTTAGGATGTGCAAAGAGTTATTTTTTCGTATCTTCAATGATGTTCAAAATCATAACTCATACTTCATTAAAAAAAAAGATGCTTGTGGCCGCCTTGGCCTATCATCTATTAAAAAAAATAACTGATGCACTTCGTATACTTGCTTATAGTTTGTCTGCAGATAATTGTGATGAATATCTAAATATTGGAGTGACAACTGTAATACTGAGCTTAAAGACTTTTTGTTCATCGATTGAATTGTATGAGGAACAGTACATGCGTTCGCCAAATGAACACGATATTGCACGTTCACTTCAAGAAGGTGAATCACGAGAATTTCCAGGTATGCTTGATTCTTTAGATTGTATGCATTGGGAGTAAAAAAATGTCCAACTGGTTGGCACAACACACACAGAGGTCACCATCACAAACCAACTCTAATTTTAGAAGCAGTTGCATCCCATGACCTTTGGATTTGACATTCATTTTTTGGCATGGCGGGTGCAAATAATGATATTAATGTATTAGATCATTCGCCATTATTCGATAAATTCATATATGGTAGAATGCCTCCAATCAATTATGCGGTGAATGTGCATTCCTATACAATGGGATATTACTTAACCGATGCTATTTACCCAAAATATGCATCTCTCATTCAAACCATTCCTTATCCGACCACTGCAAAAGAAAAATTATTTGATACAAAATAAGAGGCTGTCCGAAAAGATGTAGAACGTGCATTTGGTGTTTTACAAATCAGGTGGGGCATAACACAAGGACCCGTACGATATTGGTCAAAAGAAGATCTCTGTAAGATAATGAAAACTTGCATTATCCTTCATAATATGATTATAGAAGATGAACGCGAAACTGAATATGACTTATGGGAACCTTTACGTGAAGAAAATATTTTTGCTCCCGAATATGGTCGAGATCCATTAATTCTTGTATCTTACATCCCAGCACGTCTTGGTCGAATTCGCAATAGGGGAACTAATGAAGTCTTGCGATCCGATCTTACGAATCATTTGTGGAATATCTTTGGAGATGAGGAGGGTTAAATAATATTATTTTTCTATGTTGTCTTATTTTTATATCTGAGTTGTAATTTCTTTGTTTTTGTAATTTTGTATCGTAGTTTATTTTGTAATATGTATTATTAACGTCAATTTAAAGTTACTTTCATTTTATTATTATTGATAAAAATTTGTTAAAATACTTAATTATTATAAAAAAATAATTAAGAATATGAAATTAACAAATAACATAAAATTGAATTTTATTTATTAAATATATTGTTTTTCATTTGTTCACTTCGATAAGCAAAAAAGTTAAATTTAAATTTAATTATCATTTAAAATTTATAATATTTCATTTATCATTTAAAAATATACATAATTTAATTTTAAACAAAATAGAAATAAAAGAACAAGTAAAGGATATAAAAAATATTGATAAAAAATAAATGGGCCCACATAGCTTTAGTTACTCTCCAAATTTGGGGAGCCATGAAGAGCCTCTAACTATTCCACTGCAGTTCAATTTCCTCTCCAAATTTTACCTAGCCTTAAAGTCTCACAAAAAGAGCTTTTAACGAGTCCATTGTACATGCTCTAATAGCTTTGCTTGTGGACTAAAGTCTCCAAAAACCACGTGTCTCATTTATATGTATCCTAAGCATGACAATGCTTATTCCCTATCTTGTATAAATAGTTGCCAATGGCAGAGAGAAACACGATACCAATTTCTTTTAGCATCTTTCTTATCATACTTTCAATTTTATTACAGTAGTAAATCATCTTTCAATTTCTACAACATACACTGGTGCGTACTATGCAAGGATATTTTACTTTTATAATATTCTAGGCTACTTATTATTTAATATATATTTTATTCTATAACACGTTATCAGCGTGAGATTTTGCTCGATAGGTATTTGCTATTTTTGTATTTTTCTTTCTATTTTTATTTTACGAAGATC